TATGGGGTCATTTTGGTGCCCATAGCTGTGCCCATGGTCTGGAGGAAGTGTTGGTTATTGAAACAGAATCAGGAGCAAGATTACTACTCAGAGTACAGACCTAAAGATATTACTAAACTTATACACTCATCCTCGCACAACAACTTCAATTTTAATAACCAACACTTCCTCCAGACCCTGGGCACAGCTATGGGCACCACAGTATGCCAACCATCACCATTCCTGGATTCTACACCTGCACCTCCAGAAATGTAATACATCTCATCCAGTGCACTAAATGCTCTGATGGAAAATATGTAGAAGAAACCAAATTACAACAGCATATCAGAATGAACGCACAGTGAAAATCCATCAGACAAAAATATCCAATTATCTGTGGGTGCACACTTCTCACAAGACAACCACTTTCTCTCCTGTCTCTCAGTTCTAATCCTCAAAGGAAATTTACAAAACACCTTTTGTAGACAAGCCTACAAACTTCACTTCACTTTTGTATCTACTGGATACAAAAAAGCATGGACTAAATATAGACATTGGATTTATGGCACATAATAACCCCAGGTAACCTGTCTGGATTTCACCAGCTACATTCTATCACCAGTTCAACATTCCTCCCTTTCCCCTTCCCCACCCCCACCTACCTGTGTCACACCTATTGTCTCCCATTCCCTCTGATCCTCACTGCCACACATTTGCATTTTCACAGACCTGCATTTTGCATATTGGCTTCTATTCTAACATGGAGAACACATAACACCAGCAGACCTATGTATGCCTGAAGAAAGGTGTTTGTGCTCAAAAGCTTGTAAAGAACAATTTTTTCCAACTACTTAGTTGGTCTAATAAAAGATTATCACATTTACCCAAATAACCTTGTCTGCCTGTCCTTAGACCAACATAGCTACAACCAACAATCTTAAAAATGCCCAATTGCATGGCAGTCTAAACCCTCATTATATAAGGATTCAGATGAAGGTGCTCCAAAATGGAGTGCCTTTATTAACGTCTGTCAGTGTAACCAGGAGCAGGGCTTGGCTAACAGCCAAGCCCTGTTCCCTATGCTGTTTTTGGAATGGGAGAGGGGAAGAGAGCAGAGGAAGCTCATTCTGGGTGTTGTCCAGCCAGTGAAGGAGGATAGGGCAGGTGGATTGGAGCCCTCACCCTCCAGTGCTGGCTGGGCAACCCCAAGAATGAGCTCCCTTCATTCCTTTCCCCACCTCCCATTCTCTAAACAGTGCCAGGGCTGGGAAGAGCTTTTCTAGGGGAGACAAGCTGCATAGATGCAGTGGATCTCAACTGCAGCTCATCTCCTAACCCCCAGGACCCAACAGCAAACATCTGCTGGTCCCAAGGATAGCTGCCACTCATGGCACTTCCTACAGCAGGGAGCTACATTTATGTCTGTGCCCCTAGTGATTTCAGTGATGCAATGATGAATATCGTTACAAAAATGTCAGTATGTGCAAATGCAACAAAGTTGCTTCTTTCTGTCAGGTAGGTTTATTTAATATGAAGTAAAACTAGAAATTGAAAAAAAAGTAGAAAAGTATATCACTCCGTTCTAAACATAGATAAAACGGCCTGGAATAGATTTTACTTCACAGGCCAAATTTGTCTGTTGGATCAAAATGAAAGAAACCACTTACAGTTTTGCTACCAAATGCTTCACACACAACTTATACCAACAAAAATGCCATTTTCTGATATAACTTATTTTAGGCAAGACCTGCTTGTTGCATATCTGCATCTATACTAGGACTTTTGCTAGCATAGAAATATTGCAAAGATATCATAAAATTAACCCTAACTGATATTGCTATGCCACCAAAAGTTTCCAGTGCAGACCTGGCCTTTGCATCACTAAAGGACCTTTTCTTCCTCCCTAGATAATCCCATGGAGGTTGGAATGCAAATATTAAGCCATACCTATTTATGGTTTGACCAAACTGATTACTTGAAGAAGGGTGAGAAACAGAAACTAGGCATGCTTGCTGCACTGCACCCCAAGGTCTCAGAAATCATAAGATAGCATTAAAATGGTGAGATTTGTAAATAAATAAATAAATAATTTATAAGCTATTTTCATTCATATTTTGGGTTTTGAACTTTTTTAGTGAGCTTGAACCCCGATTTCAAGTTTCTCAGCACTCACAAGGACTAGAAGGTTGTTTAAAAACAATACAATCAGCTGAGATTCTCACAGAGCTTCTGATTTTGGTGGGGAGGGGAGAGGGAACAACCATCAAATAGCTTGAAACTCATTATAGAAATCACATGAGTTGGCAGCTCTATCACGACTACCATCAATATGGAGCAGAACTTGGATGAGATCAACTCATAGATATAGAACAGATGGTTGTAGCAGAACTTATGCAAGATACATGTGATGGTGGTGGGCAGAGGAAAGCATGATAGAGAGTGCAGCCATGCTGCAGTTTCTTTTAGTTGAAAATGCCCACAACTGGTCAATTCTGTCTGCAGCATAGCATGCTCTTTGATTCCTTGCTGATGCTAAACTCTCACATAACAGCATATGTAATATATGCTTTCCACAGACTCTGGTTGGCTAGGAAATCCCATCCCATATGGGTGATCAGTCACCTTGCCTTAAGTTATGCATGCCTTTACCACTTCTTGGATGAGCTACAGCAATACAACACACATGGGCTTAGTGCTTACTAAACTCCAGCTACTACAGAATACTGCAGAATGTTTCCCCAGCAACACAGGCTACTTCATCAAGCTCATCCTCCCCTCCTTACAGAAACAAGTTCTGGGACCTCAGGGATCTAGGTCTAATCTGTATAAAAGATCAGCAAGAGCTTCAGGATGGATAACTTCATTTCTGTGGCACAATGAAACTCACTACAATAAGGGTAAAGCTTATCTGTGCAGGAGACAAAGCTTTCTCAGAGGAAAAACAGAGGATGGAATTCTCCAGGGACAAAGCCTTTTATCCTGGAATCCTACAGACCTATACATTTGAGTGTCCCACTTTAAGTACTTGTTAAGTATCCAAGATAATACTTTTTCCTGCAACAATTTTAAAAGCCATTTAAGCTGTATGGGGAAAGGGCTATAGGGCTCTGTGGTTTTGACATGATCAGTCAGAACCAACTCAACTGTTACAGTCTGTTTTTACCTTCAGGGGTCAACCACACTATGAAATAAACTGCCACAGAAACCAAAGGCAAACCCTCTTCCCTACCATACTGCCCTACATTAAGTGCAATGTACATGTTTTTGACCTTCTTTTTTGTAACATAGACATGTAGCAACACATTATTAAAAAAAATTGAAACAGAATGCTACACTGCACACATTTCTCCCCCTGGGGAAAGGATGAGAGAACAAGCATGTGACAGATATTAGTCACACTGCTTAATTCATCACTGGAAGGTGATGGTTATGAACATGGTATGAAAACCTTTATAGAACACAACACAATGCTGTATCTGATATGATAATGAACTCTGAAAACCTCTCTGAATATCCAATGACTTAACATGGACCTGGGATTTGAAAAACAAAGTCCTGTGGGAATGAAAAAGAAGCTGTCTGAGAAAGGAGTGGAGGAAGTGTCAGGCTTAACAGCCACTGACTCTGAGATATGCAAGCTATTCACATTTCATTTTGTTTTAACTAAGCAAAGAGTTGTCTCGGCTTATTCAGCTCATGAGAAAAGTAAAGCTAGGTTAGCAAACAGTTATTTTTTCTTTTCTTTTCTTATTCCATCATTAATAAATCCTGCTTTTAAATAGTCACTTGCTTTGTGGATACTTTGCTACGTAATTTAATTCAAGCAGCACCAGAACAGAGGTTGCCTTTCAGCCTCTGAAGAGAGGCAAAGAAAGATTAAGACCTTCTGTAGCCTCAATCTCATTTGAAGTCTTCATTAAAGTAGCAAGGGTGAGTCACAAAGGGCAGGTAAAGAAAAGGGGAGAGGCCTTAAAGAGAATAAGGAGAGGGACAGGTTGATGTCCTGCAAGTGACTGCTATGAATAGACAGGATGAGAAAATGAATTAATATTTTTAATTTTAGTCTAGCCCAAGGACTGACATGACTAACTTTGGTCACAATTTATTAAACAGCAAGATGCTTTATGCAGAATTTAAGCATGCCATTGCAGGATTTCACTCAAAGCTTTAGATTAGTTGTACAAAACCAACAGTGTCCTATTTCTAAAGTGTTCAGCTACCATGTGCCCATTTCTGCTTATGTAAACATGAATTTTAGCTTGTAATTACCTGATCTGAATGGGCTAGTACGGGTTTTATACCTCTCCAAATGGTAAGCATGCCACTTTCTAACCAAGCAAAAGGTAAGTTAACTCCCCTTCAGTCTTCTCTTCCTCTTGTGTTCTACCAAAATCCTAAAATCCCAGCGGGGAAAAAATCTTTAGAATACCAATCCTAAATTTCTTGAATAGCTATTAAAATGGCAGGACCTCTTATAGTTCCAGCTGAATTAAATGGGCCTGAAATTCCATTCCATTCTCCCCCTCTACGTGTTCATTTTCTTTCTGGAGACTGCTATGCTAGCTGCTGAACAGCTTCCATTCTATTTTCCTGCTG